AATAGAAAGTTTATTAAATTATAATGACAAAATATTGTCAAGAAGAGACAAGCGGTTCAGTAAACAGGAGCCTCTTGTAGAACAGCATCTCGTCTGAAACAGGAGTGCTTCCTAACCTGGGCTAAAGGTGTGGCGTCGCGAGATCCTAACACCAGTGCTCTCAAAAAGAAGTATAACTCTGCCTCTAGGTCTTTCAAAAGAGTTATAGCCACAGCGAAGTCAGAGCATATCAGTAGAATTGACAAGAGATTGGCTAGTTTGCCCTCTGGGACTCGAGCTTTCTGGTCTCTTGCCAAAGCTGCACAAGGGAATTTCTGTAAGTCATCTTTTCCACCATTGCGCAGGGAGGATGACTCGTTGGCCCAGAACGCTAAGGAAAAGGCCGATCTTCTTGAATCCATCTTTGCGTCAAACTCGACATTGGATGACGGGATGAAATCACCACCGACCATCACGTGTTGTAGGAGCTCTATGCCTGACATTAAATTCACGCATAGCTCAGTGCGTAGAGCACTTTTCTCCCTCGAAATCCATAAGTCGAGTGGGCCCGATGGTATTCCTCCAATTGTGCTTAGGACATGCGCACCAGAGTTGGCTCCGGTTCTTACGCGTCTTTTTCGGCTTAGCTACTCATCGGGCATAGTCCCAAAGTTTTGGAAGACTGCTCTGGTGCATCCGATCCCTAAAAAGGGAGATCGCTCAGATCCAGCTAACTATAGGCCCATAGCTATCACTTCCTTATTCTCGAAGGTTATGGAATCCATCATTAACCGTCAACTGCTCCGGTACCTAGAAGAGCACCAGCTGATCTGTGATCGCCAGTACGGCTTTCGACAGGGACGTTCGGCTGGTGATCTTTTAGCTTACTTAACACACCGATGGGCAGTGGCAATCGAGAGTAAGGGAGAGGCCTTAGCAGTTAGTCTGGATATCGCGAAGGCCTTTGATCGGGTGTGGCATAGAGCGCTGCTTTCAAAGCTACCTTCATTTGGGTTGCCTGCGAGACTGTGCATTTGGGTCGCCAGTTTTCTCAAGGAACGTAGCATTAAGGTCGTAGTCGACGGAGCATGCTCTGATTTAAAACCTTTGAATGCTGGTGTCCCGCAAGGCTGTGTACTATCTCCGACTCTGTTTCTTCTGCATATCAATGATATGTTACAGATAAGTAATATTCATTGCTATGCAGACGACAGTACAGGAGATACATTATATACCGGTCATGCAAAGATCTCGCGGGCACATACCGATGAGTGCCGGAATAGACTTGTGTCTGAAATCGAAACTTCACTCCATCAAGTTTCGATCTGGGGTGAACAAAATCTTGTCCAATTTAACCCCAAAAAGACACAAGTCTGCGCGTTTACCGCAAAAAAGACGCCGTTTGTCGTATCTCCTCACTTTCAGGGCACTTCCCTTGATAAAAAGTCGAGTCTAGGAATTCTGGGCGTTGATATATCTTGCGACGTCCAGTTTTGCGGTCATCTGGAGGAGAAGGCTAAGATAGCTTCCAAAAGTTAGGAGTACTCAATAGGGTGAGACGATATTTCATGCCAGAACACCGCCTGAAATTATATAAAGCCCAAGTCAGGCCGCATATGGAATACTGTTCTCACCTGTGGGCAGGAGCGCCACAGTACCAACTCCTTCCGTTAGACCGCATTCAAAGTCGGGCGGCTCGAATTATCGATAGTCAACGCCTTACTGTCCGACTCGACCCACTGAAACTGCGCAGAGATGTTGCATCTCTGTGCATCTTCTACCGAATTTATCATGGGGAGTGTTCTGAGGAATTGTTCGGATTGATACCTGCTGCTGATTTTCACCACCGTACAACCCGCCACAAACTAAAGTTTCATCCCAATCATCTGGACGAGTGGCGGTCTTCCACCGTGCGTTTTTCAAGGCACTTTCTTCCACGCACAACCATTCTTTGGAATCAACTTCCAGCAGCAGTATTTCCGAACCGATACGACAACATAACCTTCAAGAAAAGAGTATATTCCTTTTTAAAAGGCCGGCAGCACACCTGCAATGCCGCTGGTGTTGTGGGTGATCATGGGCGGCGGTAGTCACTTACCATCAGGTGAGCCGCATGCTCGTTTGCCCCCTGTGTTGTAAAAAAAAAAAAAAAAAAAAAAACAGATGTATTTCCTTTAAATCTCGAATTCCAACAAGGATCTTAATCTTATAATTAAATTGAACATCTAATTTGGCTGTACAACCAAGAGCATCCGGAATATTCGTAGTTCCAAACAATAGGATCCAATTACTGAAATCATATTCAAGATGGCAATATCAATTTTATTAGGTAAACTAGATCTTGTTCGTAGAGGTGAACGATATACGAAATCATTTGTGGATTGATATTAAAAAAAGAAAGATTTTTATAGTAAACTATATTAATTAATGCCTCTATGTTTCATGATTTTTATTTATAAATTATGTCACAAGAAAATATATAAGTTTATTAAGCCAAATGATAGTGAATTTTCATCAAATTTACTGAAATTGATATATATTCAAGTCAACTAAATAATAAGCATTTTTGAATAAGCAGTCATTTTTTATGAATCTACCGCCCAGTTCGGAATACAATTTCAGCTGAGAAGAACGGGCAAGAAACACAGCTGTTGTCGTTAAATAACAGGTTTAATTGGATAACAAAATTAAAACAACTTGATTAGATAGAGGCGGAAGAAATTGAATTTAAATTGTGCGAAGTTAGTTTGGAAAGTACATAGTTTAAAAGGAAAGGATCTGTAATCTGATTATAATACTGGAAATACTTTCTTTTTCAAATTAGAGAAATCTCGTAAACTATGAGGTTCAGTTCAAAGAAGCCCTTCATGGCTCAGAGATCAAAAGAGATAAGAAGGACCGGTCGAAAGTAGTTTTGGTGGATTCATCGTTAAAAAAAATATGGCAAAATGGTCACATTTTTTATTGATTGGTAGAAAATACCATCTGGTATTAAGTCTGCTAAATGTATATATTAAAGTTTAATAATTAAATAAATATAGCACATTTTGTAAATTAATTTATCAAATTATAATAGCAAATAACGATCGGTGGTTAAAAACATTAAGAACAAAAAAAAATACTTTCAAGTCAATGATTAAAATTGATAACATCGATATCAAGGAATCATTTGATTTTATCAAACAGTAACCTGCAGTTACAACCAAAACTTATTCGTTTAGGTAAATCAATACTCGTGCGGCGAAGAAACACGAATCACATAAAACACAAAATAAGTATAAACACGCGGCCTACCTAAATATTGTCGGCTGTTCATTCCTCGACACATTTAAAGTTGGTAAAATTATTACATACTGTAAATTTTAAAGGAAATTGTTAGAAATATTTTCAGTGAGAAAGGAATCTTGGAAACGTGGCAAGGTTTATGAAGTAACATATTCTTGTATGTTAATTTTTTTATTATATTGTTAGCTTTTGAGAATTAATTTTTTCGTGTTGATGGCGTTGACTAATGACACTTGCTGGATTTCTGAGTTAAATATAATATAAAAATGATATTGTGGAATAGTACAAGTGTTTTTACAACAATTATAAAGTTTTAAAAACGAATAATGGAAAAAAATTAAATAGGGCTATAAAAGTATATATTATATAAAAGTACGAGGAAGATACGTAAAGATTCACGGAACCCATAAATCCTTCACAAACAATTGTGGATGGAGCACATTGTCCTCTGTAACAATAGGTACACGGGTTCTGAGCGACTACACGACCCTACTACTTTGCTCTAAACCGACGACTACTGCATGGGATGAAACTCCTTTGTAGTTAAACAAAGTTGCAACATGTTAACGAATATAACTTAATAAAGCTAAACTAATTAGAATTTGAAAGCATACAATGAAATTCTATACAAGCTATTAATAAATGTTTTAACGTGTACATTTTACTTCGCAAAAGCAACCGCTATTACAGTCTTGATACACACACAGAGATAATGTTTAAATGTGTGTATTATTTTAAAATTATTTCAATTTACAATACCGAATCGTGCGTAGATTTTACACATTTGTAAACTGCAACAAGAAAGTCCAAAAGATTTCTTGCTCCTCAAAGAAAATGCTAACATCAATCGTTAGATAATTAAACTTGGAAGTACCCTATCGGTTGACTCTCCCTCTCGAACTTGCTTGAAAATGATATCCTATAAAAGGTATTAATAAATCTTTAAAAAGCGATGATGCATCTTAGCGTGATGCATAGTGGTAACAAACAGGTCAACGTCTTTAGCCAGAAATAGATGGGAGCCGCCCCTGGCCCATGTCTCTCGTCGACTCCGCTTAGCAATTCGTTCCGACATCTCATTAATGTGTCAACGAGGTTATCGATGTACAATATCTATGGTCTCCCACCGAACTACTGTTTACGTTTGATATTTTTTGTTATATTATTCACCTTAAGCCTCTACTTAAAGCTAATTCTAAGTAAAAGTTACGATAGAGAGTTCAACGACCGCACGATGACGACCTATTTTTACAAATTAAATAGGCACTAACAATCGTTCGTCAACCCGATATTCAGTTCACATTCCTTTTAGTCATAAAGCTCATTTGTGAAATGAAACTTTAACGGATTTAATTTTTATTCAGGGAAATGATCAACGGAGTCGAGCGACGCTAACATTAAATTTTAGATACTAGGTAGTAGGTAGTCATTATTTTTTCTGCAACTTAGAATAATTGTAAATTATTGTGTAAATATTATTAAATAATATTTTAATAATTATTGCGCAGTTAAAATAATTTAAAGTGGACGAGTTTAAAATTCCTACCTCTCAAGTCAGTGTTTTACTTATCTACATACAAGAAAGAAAAACAGGAGTTAATAAATTAATAATGAACACGCAGTTTCATTTAGTATGTAAATATAAATTTCATATTACTGGAATTTAAATCCAATTTCATATTAAAATGTATTGTTGATATTACGTATGTAAGTAGGTAAATCTAATTATTACTTACCACTCTGCTTCCTAGTAAAATCTGTAAAAAAATATTTAATATTAAATCACCAGAAATAAAAAAAGCTGATATATTTACAAACACAAGTAGCAAAATTAATGAAACATTGCGCAAGGTTTCCGCTAACAAGACGCAAGTATGCGTGTTCTCCGCAAAAAAATCTCCCTTTTCTCCTTTTCCTTTATTTAGTGGCACTCCTCAGGAAATACGAGATAAGCTCGATTTACAGGGAGTATCTCTGTCTTCCAAGATTAACTACAGGAATTACATCGAGTCTGGCTAAAACAGCATGAAAAAATTCGGAGCTCTGAACAGAACGCGATGGTACTTTACAGCCAAAGCCTTCTGCTATATAAAGCATAGGTAAGGTCGTGTGTGGAGTACTACTCCCATCTCTGGGGTGGCTCCGTTCAGTACTTCCTACGCGCTCTCGATATTCTACAGAGATCAGCTGTCCGTATAGTATGAGACGTTGAGGTGGATAAAATTTTATAACCTCTACAATTATGTAAAGATGTAACCTCCCTCAGTGTCTCCTACTGCTTATTTTATGGGGAGTGTTGAAAAGAACTTCATTCCCTCATTTCACCTTTCTCTTTCCGATATCGCACAACAAAAATGGTGTGGTCACATGTCGTGCTATAATAAAAAGAAAACAAGTAGATAGGGAGAGGATGGAAACTATAAGTTTATAATTTGATAACAATACAATTATTAATATCTAACGATGCGATAAACAATGTAAATGACTCTTGTACATATTCGTTGAGTAACAATTATCTCAATATGTTTATAAACTTTCATATTTATTATAAATGTGAAAGTTTATACTCGTAAATATATTATATTAGTAGAATATATTAAAGAACTTTACGTATCTTATTTCATTATGATGCTCTTATCTAAGAGTAATATGTTAGCTCAATTGTATTATATTAAATTAACAATGAGAGAAACATTATGATATACTACGTTATATATTACATACAGTATTTTTAGCGATACCTATTATGATAATTCAAAAAATTTGCAAGCAGATTTTAAACACAATTTATCATAATTACAAGATACTTTTCATTACATAGTTCTGTGAATTGATTTTAAGAGTCGGTAAAGGAAAGCATAATGGCTACCGTCTATGAGCCTATGAAATTACTATTTTAAGTTCAAGAGGTTCTTGGTTTTTAACGAAATTTATCATAAATACTCATTATATTTTCCACTATCTTACTGATATAATAAAATTCTAACTGAACGATGTCTGTGCATGGAAAATATGTAAAAAATATATATGTAAAGGGTTTTAATGGGAGCATAAGAAGCCAAAACAAGAATTTTACAGTGTTTGTCTATCCGTATGTTTGTTTCGGTATCACACAAAAACTACTGCACCAAATTTAATGTGATTTTCACTGTTGTGTTCCTGAAGATCCTGAAATGTTTTATTTTGATATGCCATCTATTTTCATTGGTTTTCCAATTTCTGAAATCCGCGCGTACGAAATAACGGGCGAAAAGCTAGTAGGAAATAAATGTTTCAATTTGGATATATCTGTATAACTACAAGATTGAATTATAAATCAATGACGAGTTGATCTTAAGTTCCAATTCATGGGGGTGTCTATTAGTAGATTAAATGCTTTCGCGACCGATCGATTTCCCGAGAGGCTGAATGAACCAAGGCACCCTCCGCCTGGTTAGCGGTTATAGGCTAATTCCGCTAAACGAAGCAGAGCGAATCTGCCAAATTTAAATGTTAATGAATGCCTGTTTTGTACTGTAAGTCTTAGCAAAATTAAGTACTCGGAACACTTTCCATTTTTAACGGCATGCATTGCAAACGAAAGTGTATGCTTTTAATTCAAGATGGAATGGAAGCAGTTAGGCTCTTGGTTAAATTAGTATTTGCCGATATTCCACTTCCTAGTCTTGTTGGTTGAATTTTTTTCAGCTTTTGCTTTACTTTTCTAATAACAAGAAAGATCAATAATACAACAGCTAAATTAACTTTTGATGAATAAAACAAGTTCTATATAATGTCCTTCAATATTGTATCAATAAGAAATTGGTTATATGAGAAGTAATTTCTAAGAACTGATGTTTCATCAAAATAAGATTCACTATCTACTAGTTATTAACTTGTTTCGAAAAAAAAAGATACAAGTAAAAAAACATTAAGTATAATTAAATATAATACAAATGTATACATTCATTTAAGAACTTCTTTACTTTATCTAAGTACTAACAATATCATCTTTTTAAGAGAATTATCAATAGTTTGTTTATATTTCTGACTATTTTCATGCAGAGTGCGTGGAAAAAATCAAGAAAATTTAGGAACTGTCATCAGTTGCATTTTAATATTATTAAGAATATAGATGCGAACAATTCAATTGAAAGTTGGCCTTGAGTAATAACTATTTCAAAAACTATTAGGTCCGTCCTTCAAATTATAGTCCAACGTGCCCTAATTACGATACCGCAATGTAAACTGTGTAATAAATTAGTCTTATCTAGACAATGTCTATATAGGGACGATTCATCACTGTCACCACATGGATCGTCTGGCACGCATTAGTATAAGTGAATAAATTCGATGCAAAATCTTTTTAAACTATCTCGCTATGTGGGATCTAAATGAGAACAGACAAAATTAGTGTAAGTACTTTAATGTACGTATCCATATTATGCAGGCTGTTACCGCTTTGGTATTTACTTTTATTTTTATTGTTCGGACATTAAACCACATTTTAAAGTAATAAATATTAAAGAAAAAAAAATAGCATGAAATATATTCCTATATAAACTAAGTAAACATATATGTAGTTTTAAACTTTGTGTATTCGAATATCTTCAAAAATAATCATAATTCCCATATTTCGTTAAGTTTTATTAAAACTTAACGAAATATGGGAACAATTAGTTATAAATATGGAGGAGTTTACAAACTACTCGTATAAGTATATATATATATATATATATATATATATATATATATATCAATAAAAATATAATCAACATATCTATTAAAGTATTATTAAGTAATATATAAGGGAACACGAACAAATTAAGACTTTTGTTTATAATAAAAGCAGGGTTAAAGGCTTTGATATATTACATGATGATACATATAGTTATAATATAATATACTTATAATAGACACTAAATAAGTCATTCAGTGGAACATGTGTCAATCTGGTATTTTGATAAACGATTTAAAATTTAAATGAATTTTATATATATATATATATATATATATATATATATATATATATATATATATATATATATATATATATATATCAATAAAAATATAATCAACATATCTATTAAAGTATTATTAAGTAATATATAAGGGAACACGAACAAATTATGACTTTTGTTTATAATAAAAGCAGGGTTAAAGGCTTTGATATATTTATTACATGATGATACATATAGTTTTAATTAGAATAATATTTGGCAAAATTGTTGTAATATAAGGCTATATTTTTATATCTTACATCATAGGTGAGGTCATTTTGTAGACGACTACGTTACAATAGATTTTACATAGAAAGCAATAGCGCTTTATAGGTACACTCACTAGTAACCTGCCCCGGCTTCGCATGGGTAAGAGATGTAGATATTATTTTTTTAAACAAAAAACAACTCATATTATATGCTGACACAGATAATGACGCTGTATTAGACGCTGATAACGTAGATTTCTATAGGTGAAAGATTTTTGAAAATTGGTTAAGTAGGAATTTTTGAGTTTATCCATATATAAACAAAAAAAAAATCAAACATATTTCTTTATAATATTAGTTTAGATTTACAGAACACGTGTATTAAAAAGGTAAGATCAGTAATAGGGGTTGGGTAGAGTAGGTACTCTGATAAAGCATTGCATTGTTTAAACCAACAAACGAATAGTATCTATATAACAAGCAGAGATTATCTCCATAACAAAGGAATAAAGACAAAAAGCACAAACATATAACAAAACAAACGCAATTGACTGTTTAGACAAGAGAACGACATGATTTCCTTGGAGACGACAATTTGTCTTTCTTCAAAATTTCGTTTGAAATATTGACGGTATCAGCACATTCACTTACTAAACTTAGATGTTTCTAAAATCAGATAGGTTTCACTAGTTTTAGTATGTTGCTAACTTTGCGACAAGTCTTAGATTTCTATTATTTATATTCTATTCGTATGCTTCTATACCTACTAGCTCTGTGATTTTTTAATGAAATAAAATTTATTTATTTGCCAGAAATATTATACATGTGAATCTGGCAAATTATATTACTGGTTATCGATACCGGACTCAAATATTCAATTAATTATTACCAAGTTCGAAATTTCAAGTTGTAAAATATGTATAGATATAATTTTCATGTAAGTTTTTAAAGTTTATACTGTTTTATATTTTTCTGACGGAGATTTTCCTGCAGTAAAGTACCATAAATATTGATTTTTGCCAATATTTTAAAAATAATAATTAATACTAGTTTTGGGTATTGATTTAGTGAACAAAATGTTTAATTTTACTTTCACTAGAATATTTGGGACTACAAGTAATTGGTGCGTTGGATCATCACTAGTAGAGACCTTCCTTATCCTTCTTATCTCTCAACGTTATTAAGCCTGCACCCATATTGCGACGCGTGTTTTGCCTCTAAACGAGGCAACATTAGTAGATAATCGATCGGAGCTTGGAAGCTTGATATAGACCGTGACGATTAAAACAAAAAGAAAAAATGGGGTTTAATTTAGACGATTTTGATATACATCTTACTAACATTATGAATATTAAAGTGTTTTAAAGATGTGTGAATGTTAATTGGATGAATAGATTGGAATAAAATTAAGTAGGTACACGGATTATATCGTCGATCAACACATACTTATTATTATAATTTGCAAGGGCAAAGTCGCAGGTTTATTTTCTCATAAATTAGTTTTACTTAATGATCACATGAGAAAATATATATAATTGGAAAGACCTTTAAAGCGTTAAAATATATTTT